TTCCATTTAAAAAAATGTTATTTTACTGAAAAAAATCAAAATAACGACTCTCAATTGTTTTTTTTTATTTCTCATTTTTACCAGCGTTAAAAATGCTACTAGTTTGCTAATTTAAATAACTTTGTATTCTATCGAATCTTAAAGTTATGCAACAATAAACTGAAACACCCTGTATATTGGAATGTCTGATCCACGTTAAAATAATTCCGATGATTACAGAACTCCGAAAGAGATTCACAAATATAACGCAAGGTTCAACAATGAATTAATACCAGAGTACACAAGACTATCAAAAACTATACACGGAAGTAACTATTTCGGCGTGAAATTTTTTAATGCCCTGCCCAGGTTTTGGTCAAATACTCAACTTAACCATTTTTAAAGCAACTGTGAAAAGATATCTAGTGATGAAAGCTATCTACAGCATAGATGAGTTTTTAAATAATGATTTTACCGACTTTGTTCCATAATTGTTGACTATTTGTTTTATTACTTTGTTTTCGTTTGTGTTTTTTGTGTATAGGTTATTTTTGTATCAGATTCTATTGTTCTCCAGACGTGTGTAAGGACTTTTGAGTACCAACATGAAAAAATTATTATTATTTCATTTTTTTTACCTTTTATTGCCACTTTATGTTTTACGTTTGTCTTATTTTCGTATTGCTTGTTGTTTTTACTTACTCTTTTATGTTCTACTCTAAATGGCCTCTGCAGACACATTTTTATGTGATAGTACCAATAAATTATTAGATATTATTAATATTGAACGAGAGATATCGGCCGTTTCTGTCGAAATGTGTGGCCGAGTAATTGAAAATTGGATTCAACGAATCGATCGCTGCGAACGTGCCCGTGGTGAACATATGAACGAGGTCGAATTCCATATTCAGATTAGAGGAAAACATTTTGAACAATTGTGATGATATCATGTACAAAAGTCAAAAATTAAATGCACTAAATCCTATCTAGGCAATTCATCGTCTTTCTAAATTTTAACGCGTCTTAGGGTGGTATTGCCGTAGTGACACTTTTCCTATACACAAATGTTTTCTACTGTTACACTGAATAACCCCTACAAGTTTGATCCCATAGTTCTGAAACACCCCGTATAATCTCAGTACCTTTGTCCGTTGATAAGACAACGAATTTATTTGTTAGAAGACGGCATTGGAAGGGAATAAAAGTTTCGAATAACAGCTGGTGAACAGACGGTGTGCAGCAACATGAAGTAGATAAATAATTGAAATAGTTCTCTAGAAGGAGCCAGGAGCGCTAAGCACGAATCTGCTTCGGAAAATAACACTGCACGTTCAACCCGCTTCCGGATAATCGTCTTGTAATAGTCTACGAACTGCCAAGATGAATAATTCCGGATTTTGAAGGAAATCATTAGCGGTGCTCGTATCTAAGAGCGTTGTTTGTTTTTTAAGTATTTTACGTTAAGTCGTTAATAAAAATACTTACTGTTGCTGAGAGTATATGGAGTATATGAATGATACATATTTTACATTTCCAGTAGATTTTGTTTAATTTTTTTATATAGAATTTATAGGAAACAGCATAACGTTTTTTGTCACGGAGGCAGGTCAAAATTTTTATCGTACAAATCTGTCAAAGTGACATTTGCTTGTTTTGCACAGCTTAGCCGGATTTTCTGTACATATTTATTTTTCTAGAAATATTTTAAATAAACGGGTCTTGTGCCTTGATGATGTGGTGTAGGTGTTCCGCTGTGGTTATCGAGAAATCATCAGGAGTAACGTTTCGCAGGTTATAAACACTACATTGTAAAGACAAGAAGCAACTGATACTGATAAACACGGGTGTTTCAAATTCGAATCGTTTTAATTTTTTCCTGCCTTTATTTGGAGTGAGATTCCAAAACAAATTACACAGTAACATTGTTATTTTAATGGCAATTTGGAATTTCAATGTGACGTTTCATCTCTCAACATTATTTTATCCATAGCAACGTCCCCAACCATGCGTCATCAACGCAGCGCGTTCAGCATCCGTGAATTAGCGGGCGGTTACATTGGATGGGAGTCCATACGATTTTTGCTGCGGACGTGCTCGCAGCGAAAATCAAACGCGTTCTACCCAACACGTGTGGTTACACTGGTCTGAGCTTGTACGTCGGAGGACGTACGTCTTTATCCGGAGGTCGGACGAAATCAAACTGGTTTGATTTTTCATGCGTGCACGGAGAAGTATATGCAGATATAAAAATATCTATTGACAATTTCCAAGTTGCAAAATGGATAATGAAAAATTGATAACTTTTGTACAAAGACGAAATGCTTTGTGGGATCAAACATCCAAAGACTATCATAATAGGACTCTAGTAAAAAAACTTTGGGATGAAGTTGCTACGGAGATGAAGTATACAAGTAAGTGCAAATACAGGGTGGCCCATAAGTACTTTGAGCTGGAAAAAAAAGAAAAAAACCAAACTAGTTACATTATGAAGAATTATTATATTTTGTTATCATCTTTATTGAATGGGAATTATGTTTTAAAAATCACATCGTCTAAATGCAATCCATTACGATCACGGTACTCATATAAACGACGTCTAAAATTGTCGATGACTGCGCGGCAAGTCAACACTGTAATGCTTGCCATTTCTCTTCGGATATTTTCTTTCAGGACATCAACTGATCGCGGAGTGGTGTCGTACACTTTACTCTTTAGGTAGCCCCATAAAAAGAAGTCCATTGGGGTCAAATCTGGACTATGTGGTGGCCAGGAAATGTCTCCTCTTCGAGAAATTACTTTGCTGGGAAAAAGTTGACAGACGACGGGCATAGAAGTGTTGGAGGTGTGGGCAGTTGCTCCGTCCTGTTGAAACCAGGTCTGCGTATTATAGCCTGGAAAATTCTGCAACGCTGGTGTCAAAAACTCTTCTATCATTGCTACATACCGCTCCGAAGTAACAGTTAATGCGCGACCTCTGTCGTCCTCAAAAAAATAAGGGCCTACGATGCCATGCGCTGACATAGCAGCCCAAACTGTAACTTTAGGGCTGTGTAAGGGCTTCTGATGCTTACGCCTTGGATTTTCGGAAATCCAATAACGGCAATTTTGTTTATTTACATGCCCGTTTATATGGAAGTGAGCCTCGTCCGAGAACAACACATTAATGAGCGAAGAAAATCGATTCAACATTTCATTCGCAAAGTTTAGTCTCTGAATAGCGTCATTATCTTTTAATTCCTGCACTAACTGAATTTTGTAAGCGTGCAGACGTAAATCTTTCCTTAAAATCCGCTGTAAAGATGTTCTGGGTACGTTTAGTACACTGGAACGCTTACGAGTAGACTGGGTAGGATTTTGACGAACAGACTGTGCCACAATGTTGATGTTTCTTCAATACGAGTTGTCCTTGGTCGACCCCACCGCTGTTTATCTAACGTCGAACCAGTCTCTTCGAACTTAGCAACCCAGTTCTTAATCGTTTGAGCTGTTGGACACTTTGTAAAATTGTGTAAATTGTGGTATTCTCGATATTTACGCCGCGCAATGGTTGCCGAATCATTATTTTGATAAAACGCGCGCACACAAAAAGCACGATCCGCTCCAGTGAAACACTCCATGGCGACTGAATTCCCAGACACTGAATATACTGCCCCCACCTCGCCCGCGCCGCTCACGCTCACCCGTTAAATTTTATTCAAATTTGAAATTTCAAAGGACTTATGGACCACCCTGTATAATTATAATCGAAGTATTTCATTAAACTCACATTGATTTTTGCATATTACGCATACCTACAGTTAATGATATTTCTAAAAAAAAAATGTTTAAAAATTGTTTATTTATTGCTGTTATTTGTATTGCAAACATACTGGAATGACACTGAACCAGTTGGATCATTGAAATAATTTTTGAATATTTCCCGTGTATTGCAAGCTGCATCTGTAGAATGGTTGTTTCTTCTTGAAGGGGGAAGATTACTAATCTCAGTTGCAGGAGTATTTCTTTGAATATTGATCTCGCTGCTAAATCCTTCTCTATCGATGATTATGTTGTGAAGAAGGCATGTAGTTTTTACAATAATTTCAGATTTATCTGAGTGACATTCAATTTCTTTTTTGAGAATCTTCCATTTAGCACATACAATTCCGAAAGCACATTCAACAATTCTTCGTGCTCGTGATAATCGATAATTGTAAACTTCTCTTTGTTCATCCAGCCCTCTACCAGAATATGGCCTCATTAAATAGACTTTTAGAGGGTAAGCTTCATCACCTAATAGGACAAGTGGAGCAAGCACGTCTGTGCCCGGAATCTTTCTCTTATGTGGAACATTAAAACTTGCATTTTCCAAGTGATACATTAAAGAACTAGCTGAAAATATTCCTCCATCGCTCTGTTTGCCGTAACTGCCAACGTCAATATACAGAAATCTTCCATTAGCGTCAGATACTGCTTGAAGCACAATGTAATAGAAATGTTTGTAATTCCAAAACATGGAGCCCGAATTCGGTGGACAACGGATTCTTATGTGTTTACCATCAATACAACCAATACAATTTGGAAAATTCCATTTCAAGAAGAAATCATTAGCTATTGAGAGATGTCTTTCAACTGTTGGATATGGCATGTGTTCCTGATTCATTTCCTCCCATATAGCTTGACATACTTCATAGACTTTTTTTTATAGTCGTGTGTGCCATTCTGAATGAAAATGCTAATGAACGAAATGGCATTCCAGTTGACAAGTATCTGAAAATATTAAAAATCTATTTAGGTGTTGCGTATAGTTACTATGAAAATTACTATTTTGATAAATGGAGCTTTACTATAGTCGTTTTTGTAGGTGCAGAAGTAAAAAGTAAATGGAGAAGCCTCAGAGATAATTTTCGCAAAGAATTGAATAAAGTGTCAAGAGGTCGTTCAGGAGACGAAGGCAGAAAAAAACTAAATGGGCTTATTTTGATGCTATGTTATCTTTAACGGACTCCATGACAAATAGATCTTCAAGTGGTAATATTCAAATGACAGAACAGAGTAGTGCAATACACTCACCGAGGAATACAGATTTTGATGAATGTAATAGTTCTGATGTAAACACAGAAGAAGAGCATGATGATGAAGGAAATGAACGAGATAAAGATGAAGAGAATGAAAATTTCCGCACACCTAAAGCCCAAAAAAGAGTCAATGAAGAGAAAATTAGTTTTAAGTCAAAAAAAAGAAAGAAACAACTATGTATGATCGGCTGTTAGCTTTAGAAGAGAAAAAAATGGCAAAGTTATCTGCAATGAGCTCTACAAATGACAATAATCATTATAACAACGACAGCGATTATATGTTTCTGATGAGCCTTTTACCACAAATGAAGAGCCTACCACCTCTGAGAAATATGTACATGCGACTTAAAATCCAGCAACTATTTATAACTGAACAAGAAATGCTGCTCAACAATTCAACTGCTCAAAATCTTGTCGCTACATCGCTTCGTTCACCATCTTCGTATCAGTCTTCAACTAATACTGTATCTGATAATAATACAAATCAAATGTTTCCAACCACCCTAAGTACTGAGAACGTTCAAACATATTTTCGTACTTTCCAATAAATGTTATACAATTATATAAATAAAAAGTTTATTTTTAATAAATACCTGCCTTACAGTTATAGACAATCTTTCCCTTGGCTCAATGCATTCCCGGAAGTTAGAATGTCTTTCAATTATCTTTTCAATTTTGTTCAGAATGTAGTCAAATGTCAATGCTGACATTCTAAAATATTCAAAAAATTTTGATGGCTGCTGTTTTAATTCCTGGAACAGCCTGACATATTCACCTTCGTTCTTCCTGGTTTTATACAAATCATTGATCCAATATTTTCTTTTCTTTTCCGCGATGAGATATTTTAGCATACTATTTTCAAACAATAGCAGAGAAGTACGAGTAGCATTCATTTTGTTAACACTTCAAACTACGAACTGCCCTCGTTACTCACGCATGTAATGTAACCAGTTTAGTCGTCCGGCTGAATTTCGTCCGAGCACATACGACTTAAAAAACGCACGGACTTGCATCTAATGTAACCTCACCCTTATAGAAAGATGCGTATGAAGTAAAGAAATGTATTTCATAATGTACAATATTTTAGAAACTGTTCACTGTATTTCTCTGCGACTCCAAACAGTAATTCTATTTCAAATGCATGTTTACACCATTATGTAATATTAAAATTTTGATACCCAATCGAAAGTCTAGGAAACAACAAACGACCTAAAACAAAATGGATTCTCATACACAGTCCTTGAATCATCAGCATTTTCTACTAAAATCCGGGAAAACAATTTGCATGGTTCATATCCATATATCAATAAGTTACTATATTAAATAGGCAATATTTTATATACATAAAAATTTCAGGATCAAACAAATTTTCATCGTAAATAAAACTGAACGTCAGTATTGGAGATAATTTAATTTAATGCAGTATATGAATAACGGTGTGGCAACTCCTGAATTCGGGGGTCACCGCATCGGATATATTCATGAGAGCTTTATTAATAATGCATACTACAACAGGATAATAATAAATGATATTCGATTTTTTATTGTTCATTAAATTAACAAAATTTATATAATTATCATTTTTAATACATTTTTCACTCAAATGCAAGAGGTGTACTCTATAAAATAGGTGAGGCTCCATTGCACCATATGTACGTCGTCCCCTCCCAGAGGGAAAAAGGTTATGGTACCACCCAACGAAGCTCTAGAAGGCCAACAACACCCCAACAAGGGATTCTCGCATTCATGGGGCAGCTGAGCAGATGCAATGTAAGTGCATATTCCTATTCACATACTTCTAGACAAGGAGATGTCAACAAATATACTAAGTGAGGACGGACAAGGTGAATGAATTAAAGAAATATAAGAGATGTAACCCAAAACAAGCCGTAAACAAAACAGCTTCTTCAATGGTCAGAGAGAAATTAAGTGTTACCAGATAGATAATACTTTACGCAAGTGCTCTCCGCGTCATATAAACAGAAGTAATCCTCAAAAGATGTAAGTTATCACATGGCTATTTAACTTTTAGTGCCCTAAGCGGACACTATTTAAATTCGTAACAAATAGAAACATCAGCTTGAATTTTGAATTTTTTCTAATATGCAATTGCTCATCGTCGGTATTTGACATGTTTGTTATCTAGACATCCTGGCCTTAAACTGACGTGTTTACGTATTTCGAATGACAAAGCAGTGGTAAAAATTCACCTCCATTTAGCTCAGTATATATGTAGCGTTTTTTAAATATTTTATGTCAGTTTGGCGACACCGCCTCGGTACATGTACCTTTGAGCAAAGCACGCGGATTATTGGCAGAATGATACAGCAAAGCACTAATCCAAGGACAGTCTCAGATCGCTTTTTTCATAAATCAGTAAAAGTCCAAGAACTGACCGCAAAGTTTTGGTTAAATCATCGCATAGTGATATGTGGACTGTTTATATACTTTTTACGAAAAAAAAAGTATCAGTATTTGTATCATATAGGGAATAAAAGCAGTATAGTTTAAAAATACTGCTTTTCTGCTTCTACCCTGATAAACTGATTTACTTTCTATATTAAGGCAATGTAATTAATATGAAATATTCGACAAAGTGAAAAATAACTATTTTTGTTAAATAACGTGATCAATGATATACTTCGAAGTTGAGTCATTTATTTTAACAGGGAGTAGATCTGATCAAAAGAAATGTTTTTTTCCTTTAACATTTTTCTGGTAAAATTAAAGTAACAAAGTTATAGCCCTTTAGAAGTTTGCGTACCACCCTGTCTCAATAATATTATGTGCTCGTGTTTGGCAACAACGGATATAATCCGCCTTATCGGTTCATCGCATCGGAAACAAAAAAGCGAAAGAATTTGAAACGCTTATCATGATGTTTTTACTACAATTTTATTCAGTTGTATTCAGTCAATGTGTCAGTCGGTACATGTTTACGAAAATGCTTAACTTGTGGACATGATTCTTATTTACGGGGGGTAGTCTTTACAAAATGCTGCCGCGGCATCACGGATTTATGCGGATCGGTTTCCCAATCGAGTGAAACCAACCCCTCGTGCCTTTGTTAATGTAGTACAAACGGCTGGTGAATCAGGTGACTTAAGACCTCACATGGGAGGGCATGCCGGTGCTCCAAGACCGCACGATCAAATACAGGTCCGCACTGAAATACTTGTCGGGAGGATACTTTATAAAACAAGGTAACATTTTTTTATTTTTTTTTATTTTTACACACATATTTTGGTTTATCTTCCTTCTACAATCATTATCTGAAAATTAATGACTCAAATTCAAAGTCACTGTAATCATAAAATAAATGTATTGGCGTCTAAATTTGAAAAAGGCAGTGATTGAACTTTCCTACATTTTACCTAAGTACGGCAGTACAAGACTTGATCTGTACATTGCACACCTGATCTAACAACGTAGCGATATGCCTGCATTTGAAGCAAGACATCAGGACAGAAGCTCTCTCAATTCGAGTTCAACTGACTAGTAACTGTTTAAGATGCTGATGTCGTCTTTGTGGCTTGTAGATACAGAAACGTGCAATAATCGAAATGTGTCAGATCCAGCAAAGGAGAGTCATCGAATAGCAGATGCTACTTTGGATGTAATGTCGAAAGACAAATCGGAATCGGCTATTGAGTGGGTTTGTCACAGTCATGTCACGAAAACTGGCATACCTGATAGCATAACTCTTGATCGCTAATAATAATTTATCCATAGTACGGGATTCTAAATCGAAACTGCAAATCGCAAATAGTTTTTTTGTAGGGACACCAAAAAATTCTCCAATTAGCTACAGAAAACGTTCATTTTCAAAGTTATACAGTTTGTTCCGTACTTAAACATAGTGAAATGGTATGTAGTATGGAGTGAGACCTTTCCATATCTGAAAATAGAAAAGTTATAAATTCAGTTTATGCGGATATACAAACACGCCACTTACTTAATATTACATATCGTAGGCAAATTTTGCACGAAAATAAAATTATCCAAGAGTAACGGCCGGAGTCAATTTTTTAAATCTTTTTATTTTTTATTTACGCATCAATCTTGTACAGTTTAATGCAATACTGCACTTTGGCGAACAAAAAGTGTCATCCAGTTTCAACGGATCTCTGATCTGGCACGAACACATCTCGTTAATAGCTGCAGCTGCTGGGAAAAAGCTATTTGTTTAGGGCTAGGAAGTTCTTCTCCGCATGACTTCCTCATTCTATACAAGGCCGAGATAAGACATAGCATCGAGTATTACCCCAAATACATTATTTAGGCTCGATTCTGTTCAGAGGAAGGATGTCCGACTGATCAATGACTCTTCTCTAACAGACAGTCTCGGGACCCTTTCGCACCGGCAGGCCGTCGGCGATCTAGCGCGCTTCTACCGGTACACGAACAGATTTTGCTCCTCAGAGCTTTTCTTCATGACGCCGTCGCGCGTTGTACCTGTCAAACAAACCCGGCCTCCCATCCTAACCGCGTCCCACTTCGTGCATTCAGAACTGGCCCATAAAGCCGCTCCTTTGTTTCGAGGGTGGCGAGATTGTGGTACAATCTACAAGAAGAAGCTTTTCCCAGTTCTCCTAACCTTAGGCAATTTAAAAATCGGATTAACAAAATTTCTTTGGAATCTTCATGCAGCCGCGGTGTCCTGGTATTAAGGCTTCTGCCTGCATGGCTGCTTCGGGGTAAAAAACACATTTCAAGCTGAATATTGGAATGTGGAAAAGCCAATGAAAGATGCTAATTAACTATCAAAATAGATTGCGCTTTTCTTTTGGTTTTTGTTAAACATTTTGATTTATTCACCTATGATATTTTTAGTAGCTTGTGTGGCATAAAAAATAAAAGGTTTATCAACTTGATTTCATCAACATTTTTACAAAATAATGTTTAAAATTGAACTAAGGATGTTTTAGGAGCCCAAAATTAAGGTAGAATTCAATTTTTTCTATTTTCTTATATTTTAGAGAGTGCCGTTCCTCTTAATGCAGAGCTCATGTTGTACAATATCAGTTGGTATAACGAAATCAATAAAAAAAAAAGAAGTAAATAAAGCACATTAATTTTCCCTGTCATTTATACCATTCATGTATTGCTCTTTTCTCTGCGAAATAAAATAAATTCAGAGTATAACTTACAGTGCGATGCACTTAATAAAATACAGGGAAATAAAAAAACTGGAT